TGAAGTCATATCAAGAGCTGGTGCATTTCTGGGCTTCCCAAATAAGATTGTAACACTTTTGTTTGCCACCTTATCTCCTTGTTGCTTCAGCTCCATCACTGTATCTGCACTAAATCTTACACCTATTTTCATACTGGAGTCCTCAGTGAACAGAATACATTGAGAAGCCACAGCTTTTCATTAAACAGCAAATATTCTCAATTAAAGATTGCTCATTTTTTCTAGATCCCTTTTTTTTTTTTTTTTTTTAATTGATGTGATCAAGCAAGGGCAAAGAGGTGTGTGAGAATCACCCTCAGAATAATTCCTGTATGAAGACCACTGCTGGAACCAGCACAGCATCTTTTTGTCTAACAGAGCAAGTGCCTGTGGCATGCTTTCACTTCCACAAGTGCCCTATATATATTAAGCCAGTTGTTTTCTCCTGAAATCCCATTTAATCTTGGATCACAGCTGAAAAGAGTCTGTATGTGTGGTGAATAATTCTTGGGCCGGACTCCTGAGTGGAGAAGATAGTTTGGCTAGGTTGGAATGCTGAAATATTCACTCTAGAGCTCTTAAGGAAATTAATTTGGCCTCTTTCTCTATATTTTTTTTTTATCCTGCCCAGCTCTTGTGCCAGCCATCAAGGTGTCTGACCTTCACTGAAGAAAATGAGTGCATCAGAACACGCTGTCCAAAATCCTCACGTGTCCCTACAGCAAAGGGTTCTCCAGAATTAGCGCTGGTCACAATACATGAAGCTTTTCACGTGGAGCCTAGCCCTTTTTTATTCTTTAGCAAACTTGCAACAGCAAAATCTACTCTTTTGACCACGAAGTCTCTTACTGCAAACCCCTGGGCTCCTGGGGCCCTCGTGAGGGCTGTTTTCGTGCTTGCGGCACATGCAGAAGGTACTGCATATTGCTAACTCACTTGAATTATTCTGACTAGCTTGTTCTCACCTTGCTGAAAAATGAATTGCTCTAAGTGGCCACAGTCTGAGATTTCAAGCTCCTAACTGTCTTTCTCTACTAGCAAGCTGCTGATTTGTCATCCTGTGCTCCTTTTCCAGGGTCCTAACTCTATTTGTCCCTTAATGTCCAGTGAACACTGAGGAGTGAGACTTCCCTCCCCCTACAGTGATTTGTTTTTCTAGTTCTGAAGACTCCTTCCATCTCCTATTTCTAGGAGATATATCCTCCTCCAGGCATTTGCCTTCTCACTGCTTACATTGCAACCACTATTTTCTGCAGTTCCACTTCAGGAGTGTCCTTCTCACGTCTGATGGTGACTGCAGTTTCTCCACTGCATAGCATCCCATGCTCTGTGAGCAGGAGAGCAGCTATTCACCAGTGATTAAAATGTGGTTTAAAACCCAGAACTGGTGCCACGAACTCTGGGTGAAAGAGGAGCTATCAGAAGGACAAGAGCATATTTTTGTGTCCAGAAAAGGCTAAAAAACCACAATGCCAGGTTGAGAATCATTCCCAACTAATTTAAAACTAACCAAACAAAAACCCCTCACCTCAATCAAGATAAAGGAGTGCAAGAAGATGGATGTGTATTTGTAAGTAACTCAATGGAAATTTGGAAAAAAGAGATCCTTTTTTCCTTGAGGCTATTCAACAAGGTTTGTCATATTTGTCCTTCAGACTTCAAACAAGCAATGTTTTTTTCTTACCTACAGATTTTAGCAAAATATTGTGTAGACACTTATTTCCTTTTTATCTCCTGGCAGTCCCCTTTAAATTCTGTTGCTTTGTTCTTTTTTCTCTGACTACCATTTTCATTTTCACTTTTTTATTAAGTCAGTGTGAGGGGAGAAAAAGAAATTAATATTGACAAGAGAAGAGAAACTTTGGGATTTTTCTTATGGAGAAAAGGGTGAAGCTTTTAATAAGTATTATTTGAGAGGAGGGGGAGAAATTGGAGAAAAAATATTTTGTTGCCAAAATATATCTACATTTATTTGTCCAGCCCTAAATCTGAAACTGGGGTACATAAAATATTTTTTCTTAGCCAAAATGTCTGTGTATTGTATATTCCCAAACATCATCTGCAAAACTTCCAAAAATATAAACCTCCGAAAGATCAAGTCATGGATGGTTTCCCTTCCTTGCCACTCTCATGAGTAGCTGAACTGGAAAGACAACCTTGTGCAATAAATGTTAGAGAGGCTGGTGACAAGCATGGTGACTTAAGCCTCATGTCTTTCTGCGTGTTTAAAAAAAAAATAAAAATTTCTGCTTCAGTATAATGGGAGACTGAAAACCATGAGTGACCACTAAGCATTTTGACAAAGACAGATGTACTTAAAAAAGGAATATATTCTACCCTAAGCTGCGAGCCTGTGGTGAATTTTGTTAACTAGAATTTGTAATTTGGGCTACTGAGTTGACTTAAAAGCATTTTTGTGGCTTGTGGGCATTTTAATAGTAGGATTCCACAGAGCATTATTTGGAATTATGCAGCTTGAGAGCTTCATGCCATCCTGAAATTTTTCTTGATTACAGCTAGTATCCTATGCAGTGTACGTAGTAAATGGAAAATATTTTTTTTTCATTTGAATCCAAGTCCTTATTGATATTCCTGTCAAAATACAGTTTCTGGTCTCTCAATAAACACAGAGCATGACTTATGAATGCAGTTTTCACACATAATTTCTGGATGTATTTGTAAGCCTTTTGCCATCTGTGTACATTACAGATCTTTAGAATAAACAACTGTGCAAGTTGTACAAGCAGTTGGACAGCTGTACAAGCTCATAGCAGAAATCTCTTTTCTTTTTATTTTTTTTATTTTCTGCAGTTGTCAAATTGAGGAACAAGGGAAGTACAGAAAAGTATTTCTACTATAAGTTTTGCAGTTACTAAAATTAATGATGTGCCCACAGTTATCATAAGTGGAAATTGCATCTGTTAGACTGATATTGCTAAATAAAACCTGGTTGACTACTGGGATGAACAATATCCTCAGATATCCTCGTGGCAATAAAAAAAAGGCAATTATTCCTAACATTCACATTTACGACCTCTACTTAAATTTACAGCAAATCCTGTGCCTGAAAACACATACATCTCACTTCTAAAATAGATTTAGGACAATTAGAACATAAATATTAGATGCAATTTCTCGCTGGTCTGAATTAGATCTTGCTATTGAAGTCAAGAGCAGGAAAAGCTTATATTTGCAAGAAATGCCTTCAAATCAAAGAGCAGCTCTGTGTGTTGTTCTCAGCAGACACACAGCTATGTTGAAATCCTACCTGGATGAAGAGTACAAAAACCACTTCTTATGCTTATAAAAATGATACCTGAATGGTCAAAGCAAAAGCCTATGGAAATACATTCCCCCTGTGCAGTATTCCATAACCATGTTGACCCAGGGAAGAGAGCAGCTTGCCTGCTTTACCCAGTTTTATTTCCTGTCTGATAGAGGTTGTGTAATGTATAATGTAATAAAGGAAGAAATGGCTCCAATTGCTTCAAAGGAGAGTTCTGCACCTGCTAGCAGAAGGAAAGTATGACCTCCCCAGATTCCTACATGTGAAACATAACATTCCCCTGTTTGCAAAAGCCCAGCAGAAACCTTGTGGATGTGCCCCGTTCCCTTGAATTTTCTTACAAGGTGACCTGCATCCTAATTGTCCTGAGTATTTTGCCTTTCAATGTCAAATACTTGCTTCAAATTCTAATCATATTTCTGATATTGTTGTCCTTTTTGCAGCAGCTTCTTGAAGTATTTTCACAAATGGTTAAGACTCAGAGAACCTTGTTGATGCAGGGCAGTATTAGTAGCCACCTTATGAGATGATGATAAATAGATTTACAAAGCTAGCACAATGACATTTTAAGTTTTTACCAGTTAGAACCTTTGGAGATCAACTTGGGGACCATCTGCAGCTGCCACTGACTTCTCAGGGAGCTAAAAAAACTGGGATCCAATGCTGAAACTTCTGTTGTGGCCATGGTGAGCTCAGCATTTATATCTAGAGGGGACTTTGATTAATGTAGGATGTCAAAATCTTCACGAGACCATGGGGACCAGACTTAGCCCAATGCCTGAAACTGGCTTGTGATTAGCTTGTTTTCAGATGTGGCAGCAAGTCTTCTGGATGCCAGAGAGTCTTGAAAGTACCATTCCTCCTATTTCAACAGCACAGTTAGTTTAAAAAAGTGCATATTTAATTGCAATATAGGCTGGAATTATTTTCAGAAAGCAGGGGGCTTAGGAGCACATCTTTAAACTTCCTGGCTTTTGCTCATATTCCTGCCATGGTTGCCAGTAAGATTTCTCTTTCATCTACATTTGCTGTAGTTCCTTCTTTCTTACTTTCTAATAATTTAAGAGACAAGATGACAGAACAGATTAAAAAATATCTATAAATAATACCGTACGTAAAGAGGCATTTACCCACTGAGTCTTAAAACTCATTCCCTGATTTGGACCTATTTTTATAAGCTTCATCTCACTTGACACTGACAATGATTCACATAAATATTAAGTGTTCATTTTTAGTCCAGTGCACACAAGTGAAGCTAAACTGTAGTGTTCTTTGGAGTTTTTACCCCAAAGATCCTTGCTTCAGACAGAAGGAGGGTTAGGAGGATGCAGTTCTGAAGCACTCTACAATCATCACGTATTAGCTAGTGTAGATGGAGCATTTTTAAATTTTTCAATGACATTCACATTTCAAATGGGTATTTTTTGTTGACTTTTTTTTCTGTAGGATATAAAAATAGGGTGTGTTATTCTGAATTAAAGTCTAAACCTGAAGGCTTTGGAATAATGTACTTTCTTATTTATACCTCTCTGTTGTGTTGTGGTTGTGTTCAACTCTATCACTATTCTTTTGCTGAATCTTGTTTTTTAATTAGAGCAGTCCTGAGATGTTTTATTAATTGTCCAAACACTTTGTTCTTTAGGCTATGCAGCAAAGCTATTTAAACACTGAAAAAAAAAAAAATTTCCAATGTTTGTCACTTCTAAATTCTATTACAATTGTGTTTCTGTTACAGCAGGAGTATATTTGATAACAGATGGTAAAACTGCAAAACTGTCTCCGCTTCATTAGCGCCCCTGGCAAGCCTTCCTATATAAGGTAAGTTACAGCAGAGAGGGATATTTAACAATATACTCTTCACAGTTTCCAGTAAGACTTTTTGGACTAGTTTTAAGTGTATCGTGAAAGCAGCGAATGCAATAGGTAGAATGCCCATTGATCACTTGTGTGTTGGTTGTTAAAACCACAACTAAGCATATATGCTTGTAAAAGGCTCTGATCTAGCAAAGACTTGTTCTAGTGCTTTTCCAAGTTAAATTTATCCTGGCAATAGTTTCACTGAGATCACTTTCCTTTAATGGTGATAATGTGGTTTTATTAAAAAGTAATAAAATGTAAGTGATCAATCTCCATTTAAATTAAAAGAATGTTTATGTTAAAATATTGATGAAAAGGCAACCTTCAGAGATTTTAAGAATGCTTGTATTTCCATGGCATGACTGAAAGGTGACAGATTGATAGCCGTGGGAAACGTAGGTCTTTTCAAAACAAATTATGTGATGTGTCCTCAGACTGACTTTGGAGCTCGTTTTGCAGCATGGCCAAACTGCTCAGGCTGTGGGGTGTAGAAGTCCTCTATAATTCTGCATATCATCTACTTCTGCATAGCATCTCCTACTTTCTTGTGCATATTGCCCATTCCTTTCCATAGGGGCTACACAGAGATCCCTAAATCATTGTGTGTGGCTCACCCTGGAGTGCAGTGCATGAGGACAACATATGGTTATTTCCTACCAGGAACTGGCTTCCAACAAATGAGTGAAAAGAAAAATACAAGTCTTGTCATATGCCAACATTAGACTGTCTCTGATGATGCCACTACGTATATCTGTTTTCTACTATTGATCTTGCTGAATTCTGGGGCCCAGAATTACTACATAGGAACAGCCTCTTACTTCCACATTATTGGGAAATGCTGCTTTGCCATCTTTCCAGTATAATGGTTTGTTAACTCCTCATGCTGTGCAAATTGGATTAACTTCAGTAACTGTCTGTGTTATGCAGCTTTGTGAAGTGAGGAGGGCTCCTGAGCAGAGATGGATGGAAATTTAAAATCATGCAGTGGGAGGAAAATACTAAATTTGAAATTTCACATTCTAAGCAAAAACCAATAGCCACTAGATCATTGTGTCCAGGGAACTGATTCATACTACAAATATCGCATGGATTTTTTGAGTATGTCTTTTAAAACAGCTTATATTCAGCATGTGTTTGACACGTACATTTAATGGACCTTTCCTATTAGAGGAGGAAAATTATGGGCATCAACAAGGTTTTGATATGAGGTGGTTGCTAACAATACTAAGGCAGTTTTGGGTACATGTACAGAAACAATGCTGTAGGCACTGGGAAATTTTAATATGCATTTAAAAAAGTTACAAATGCAGGATTAGTGTTTTGGGAATTCCAAGTTCGAGCTTACATGGTGACACTCTTTCATGAGTCTGCCCTCAGAAGTGAAGATGTAGGAAGCAACTGCTAGATTTCCTGGATGCAGGAGTGATGGAGAAGATGGTGACAGAGAAGTCCTGCTCTCTGTGCACCACAGCTCAGGCACATACTGCACCTTTGGAAGGATCACAGCCTCGGGTGATCTGCTACTGCAGTCCAGGTTGGCTTGGAAAACACTACATCTGAGTATAGTGTAAAGCCTTTCCTTAGATGTTGTTAACTTGCTGTTTTTATAGTACAAGCATTTAGAGGTGTCACAGAAATTATAACTCTATTGTGTAGCTACTGAAATAAACATAGTAAGGGAGAGAGGAAAAAAGGGCAAAGCAAGCAACCTGAGAAATTTTGTTTTTCTGTTTTGAAAATGACATACTAAGATGACTAAACATCTTGTATGATTTCACACACAGTAAAATTCATAGAAAATGAGAGGGGCTGAAACACACCCAAATGATGTACCATACTGAGTTAATAAAATGTAGTTTTTGTGTGCTTGTGTCCACTGCAAACGTTCGTTTGCTGAGCTAAATGTGTGTGACCTGCCTTTGCACTATTGGCATGCTGCAGATGCTCTTCCTGAGAGGATCCTTCAGAGCTAACACATGCAAGCAAGTAGGGCCTTGGCCAAATCTTCTAACAAATGCTCACTCCATAAACTGCATTAATTCAGTTGTTTGCAATAATTTGTCCAAATCTCAGGTTTGGGGGCTTTTTTAGGGTTTTGTTTTTTGCTTTCGAGTAAATTTCCACCATGTAGGTCTGTGTATTCATCTGAGGACATGTGGGAATATTCTGAATGAATGTTAAAAAATCACCTAGTAAGAACAAAGACTTACCCTCCTGTCCCAACCAAGATAACTTTTGAGAACAGTAAATGCACAGTTTTAGACATTCTTATTGCTAATGGCAATATGGACATGAAGATAAATTTATGGTTTGGAGTTGAAGACGCTATAGAATTTTTACTGAATTTCAAACTTTTTATTTGCCTGTAGTCCATGCCACTGACACAGTGAAAACTGAGCTGCTTTGCTTAGTAAAGCAGGTTCTTCAAAAGACGCTTTCTTTAGAACAGTGCACTTTTGCACTATTGATTTCCTGCTGCTTAGACATAACTAACATTTTAAGTAATCTATACAGTTTTGAAATTTACATTAGGTCTTTTAATAAAATCCCTAGCACCTCAGGGACTTCTTGGTAGGATAGACAGTGAACTCCTATCAACTGAACACTAAACAACAGAATGCTAAATTTTGATACCGTTTAAGCAAAATTCTGACCCAAGCTGATCTGCTACTGCCCCAAAATCAGAAAACCAAACACCACCCCACAGTTGCAGCAGTCTGGCTATTGGTTAAATTATCACAGCATAGTCAGGTTGTTCTTGGTTTGTCCTTACAAGTGCTTTACTGAAAAATCCTGAGTTAAAATCGGTTCTGCATTATGCGGGACACATTCCTGAGAAGTGCTAAGATGTACTGTCACTAGATTTCTTGCAGAACTCCACAGTAGAAGCGAAGGGGAGATCCATGCTAAAAAGGGAAACGGGAATAGCACAATGTGGCTGAGATCATGTTGTGGTGTTTTTAGAGTAGAGATCAAAGGATGCTGTGAAGGCAAGCCCTTTTGCATTGCGTGTTGTGGCAATTACACAATTGTCCTTGTCCTGAAAAATTTTACCTGAAATAGGTGTGCGTGAAATAGATGTACATGGGTCTCTGGTTGGATCCCACTAAAATCAGTGATAGTTGGGACCACGGCCCTACAAGGTGGGGTGGGATTTTAGTGATGGTCTGTTCGCTTCTTGCCTGTGTCCTTTTCTACTCTAGGACTTCACCTCCCTTCTGCTGGAGGTTGTAGGTGCTCAGCATTTTAGAGATTTCTTCTTATTCATTTTGTTTTGAAGCCTGTTATCAAGTCCGAAGCATTCTGACTGAAGGTTTTAATCTAATTAATAAATGGATAAATCACAGAACTGGCCTCTGCCATCTATACCTCTCAACTGATTCAGTGTAATGAAGATTGCAAGAAGCCCAAACTGAAAAATAGAACAGGGCTATTGGAATAAATTTTCAAGGGAAATCTGCATCTAAATTTCTTAGGTATGTTAAATGATAAGCAACCCAAGCTGACCAGATCTTTCTGTATTTATGAATATGTTTTTTGAGGGCAAAGTTGACCAGCAAGACAAATTCTGATGCCATAGAAACAAGCAGTTATTAAGTAACTGTTGATGTATCTCTGTGTACATTTAATTTTTTTTTCTGAATGATCAAGGGTAGATGATCAAGGAAATTCAGAGAAGATCAATTTGGTTGTGCAGATAAAAATGTATGTTTTAGCTTGTACTTGCCTCTGAAAATTATAACACTCAGTAGAAAAAGGCTTTGCCTTTTCTATTTAAAACCAAATAATCCGTTTTATCACTTCTTACAAGGGACAGTCTATCCCAGGTTTTCAAGTATAAAGCCAGCATGATATTTTAAGCTATTTTTTGTAGTCACAACACCTCAGTGGTCGTGACCGAAGATTTTTCAAAGTAAATCTAGCAGTACTGAGATTTACTGCTGCTCCTGAAGTATCAACATAATTACGTAAGTGTGTGCCAGCAGTGTGTGCCTGTGTTGGTAGCTCATGTGCAGCACACACATTGCTGCCTGTCTTCAGTGCACTGAAACCTGAGATTTATTGCATTTACAAAAGGCCATTACAATGCAATTTTAACTTACTGTCATTAAAGGGTCTTACATCATAAGCAATCACTGCAAAAAGCCTTGGTCCGCGACTTATTCATAATTTTTATTGCATGATTTATTAGTGCCTCTGTTACACTTTATAAATCTTATCAGAAAGAAATTAAAATCAATTAGGGCCTGGTCCTTTCACCTTTACCCATGTTAGGTTGGTACCTTGTTCTTAGCCTGAAGGAAACAGGGATATTCCTGGAGTAAGCTATCACTACGGGAGTAGGAGTGAAGATAGCAAAATCTGGTTACTTAGTGAGCACAGGAGAGAGATGTAAAAATTATTCTAGAAATGACAGCATTTGGTTTATATTCCAGGGGGAGGAGGTGGTTCTCCATGGATTCATAGATTTCTCTGATTTCATCCGATCCTACCGCTTCTGTGTACCATTTGGAGTGAATCACATATTTATGTAATTCAATATTCAGCAGGGAAAGCCAAGTCAGCCTTCTAAACTGTTCTTTCCTCAGATCATATTCAGCATATAGTAACTGAGAAGCTAATGTAAGACAATTGCAAAGATTTCAAAATGTCTTTTCTATCAGTCTTATACTCCAAGAATGTACGGAAATTTCATAAAATCAAGCTTATACAAAATGGAAACTCAGTTTTGCCATCTGTATTTGCATGAGAAGGAATTATGCGCTTGATTATCAATTAGGGCCCAATTTTTCTATCTGAATATCCCTGCTTGCCCTTTTTATTACGAAACAGAGCCCTTGGATATGATTTAGTTGAACATTAATGGAAGTCATGTGGTTTAAAGGGGGATGTATTCTACAGTCCTTTGCAGTAAAAAATGCCAATAAGATCCTGATGAGCTTTGTCAGTATTAGAGCTCTATGTTTTGATGCAGTGTGCTAAAGAAGATCATGTCTTTAAAAGATTATGAAAACATGTATTTGAATATGTATGCTCCTAATAAATTGCTAAGATCTCTTGCACTTTAGTGCTTTGGAATGGAAATATGCACCGTGTCTATTAAAAAAAAAAACAGTATACAGCAGTTAATTAGTTATCCTGAAACACTGCAGGAAAATTCATTTCTATCCTTGAAGCTGGTGGTAATTTTGGCTGAGTTTCAATAACAGTAAGGCTGGGCCCTCTGTTGCTGATTTGCTAACATCTCTCCTTATGTTAAGAGAAAGGCAGTATGTATAGACTTTACTAAAGTACTACCATAAATATACACACATTTTTACAAATAACAAAGACAAATACTGTTAAATGCTAGATTGCACAGCAGAAGGGAAGAACAATATGGACAAATACTTTTCCTAGGTATAGTCTAATATACCACATTTCTGTGAGCAGTTCTAAAATAGAAATATTATAATTGATCCACAGATCTTTTTATCCTTTGTCTCATGATAGACCAACAGAGAATTACCAGTATTTTGTTGCCTTTTTTGCCCAAACCAAAACCAAAATAGCAAATGTTAGGAGAAGGGCAAAGAAAATAACTGAAGGTACATAGGGATGGATTAAGGAGAGAAGAGACCAGATACCTTTCTGAACCCAGCCACTAAATTTACATGGATTTCAGTGGCACCACGGTTACTTCTGCAGAAATATTTTGGGGTGGTTTAATTTTGAAGTCCTTCCTCATATGGAAATCCCACTCAGCATCGTAGGAGGTGGCAGCAATAGGAAGGCATATATATGTGTATGCATATGATGGTATGATCCATACAATCACAGTCTTGGCTAAATGAAGTAAATTTTGTAACCTAGAAACATTAAAATTAAGTGAGATAAAAAAAATAAATTAAAATGGCAACAGATGCTGTTCTTTTTTAAGGTTTTAGAATAATAGAAATAAAATTGGAAATAGGCAAATATATTTTAAAAATGTCCTTGAATTCAAACTGCTAAGACTGTACTAGGGAGCCATGGATTTGTCAGGTGGGTAACATCATCTCTCTCATCTCCCTGTGAGATCGAGACTTCAAAGAGATTGTAAGATTTTCTGGGCAGACATCATATCTTCCTGTGTGTTTCTGAACAGCTAAAACTGGTGAAGTCATGATTCTGCATGGCCGTTCTGATAGTTTTAATTTTTTGTGTGTATGGTAGTTTAAAAACATATTACTTCTGAATTCAGATGGACAATTCCCAGGAGTTACTTGTGTACCTGTTCCCACCATGACCAATTTGATACTGGACTGGATGTGGGACTTGGAGCAGTGGACACTTTCTAACTGGCATTGCAAAGGTTTCTTTGGTCAGGATGCAGAGAAGACTACCATGCTCACTAGTGGGTTATATAAGGATTTGCAGTAACACGTTCCTTGATGGGAGAAAATACGAATAAAAAGGAATTTTAGGAACTATATTAATAATGAATGATAGAATGGTAGTTAATAGATGACTGTAATTCCATTATACTACAAGTGCAAGGGAAACCTCATTTGATGTGGAAAGATTCTCATTTTTCCAGATCTGTAATGCAGCATGCAGTTAAAATTAGGCGATCTTGTTAATTGTCAAAGTATATGGTGAGAATTCCTGCAGCCAGCTTCAGTGCAGGATTAGATATGCCTCTGCAGGAGACACCTTCCAGAAAGGCGCAAGTGGGAGAGCAGCTCCAGCGGGGCCCCTTTGGAGCTGAGGAGGATAAAGGAAAGCGACTGGGGCAGCTCTCATCCCCTCTGTCCCTGTCTACTCATGCCTGGTGGGAGTCTCCAGACCACTGTCTGCAGAGCGCTCCTGCACCAAGTGTGTCCCACGTCACACATCTGTGGAATAAGCTCCCCTTGTGAAGGATGGGGAGTATCTGTTCCCACTCCCTGATATCTGCCTCAATTCCTGAGCTAAGCTGTGCTGGCCAGGGGTAAGGAACAGGCAGAATCACCCCAGCCTCTAATCCTCAAGACAGTGTGGTAATTGAGGAATTAGGAACACATAAGCCTTTTTATACCTATGAGCCATACTTTATATAGAGAAAAAGCAGTTTAAATGAACACAGCAAGGTTGAAATGCTCTTGAATGTACAAAAGAAAGATGGAAGAAATCCCCGGGGAACACCTTTTTCTCATCTCTTTACCACTATCCCTTTTTCCTGTCTCCTTTTCAGTGTCAGATACTCGTCCTTCAAAAGTCACCCACTGAGGAAAGCAGATTCTTCTTTGTGAAGGATGTGAAGGGGAAACATGAAGGAAAAGTAAGTGAGAGTTTTGCTTTTCCCCTTACAGATTGAAGCAGTACAGCATATAACAGGATTGCAAGTCAAGCTGTTGAGGACTTTCCACATGATTCCAACCAGCTTTTATTTAAAACCAGTAAAAATGTTTATTTGGAAGGACTACAATAGCTTTCCTGAGGGTTCACTAAAAGAGCTTAACTGTCCAATTTGAATGTGAGCAATAGTGCACAATCTCAGCTGAATGCTCCTTGTTCTCAAACACTGACTAACCCAAGGAATGTGAATTAACACAAACACAACTTTATCCTGCTGTGGAGGAGGAGGAGGAGGAGGAAGGGGAATAAATATGTTAGATTACCTGCAGGCCAAACTCCCTAGGAAGTCAGTGGGAGCTTTACTAGTGGAAGGACAGCATGACCAGACATAAATATAAAGGCGAGAGGATGCTAAGAAAATATTTTCCACACTTTTGTTTGGGATTCATGAAGTCTAGTAAGTACAGAGGGCAGGAACACTATTACAGTGAAACTCTCTGTTGCTTTAGCATCGCTTTCTGGCTGACTCTATTTTCCCCTTTGTGCCTACTTAGAAAAAAAATAAATTACAAAGTTGTCTGATGGTACAAAAATGACAGTTCTAATGAGCATCAAATAAACTCAGTTTAGGTGTGTGCAGTGATATTTAGCTGTCTGGACAGATGCTTTTGACAATCCTCCTACATCTTTCCCATCACCTTTTCATTACTCTGTTCAGATCTTTAGGCATTAGACTTTGCCTCTGATATCCAAACGTGGATTCTTTAGGTTAAGGAGAAGTATAATACCTGTTTATCTTACTAAGATAGGTGTCTAAGGCAGTCTGTCATTTGAAACAAACCATATTTTCTTATTACAGATATAGAAGATGATGCAATTTTTGAAGTGTTTCCTCTTTTTAGAAAGAATTACATTATTAAGAAATTAACGTGGAGAAAACTTGAAATTAATTAAAATCAGCCACTATTGTTTTAACAAGCAACTGTTGACTGTGTTTGGCCTAAAAACAAATGATTAGTGACTAGGAGCTTTGCTTAACCAAAGTTAAGAAATAAACAAAATTTGCAGAGTTAGCTGATTTTGCCTGACATACACAAATGCACTTCCAGTCTTCCCTGGCTGTCTACAATGAGATCAGAAGTAATTTAGTATGAGTCAGGTGGAGGTGAAGAAAAACAGTCAAATGTACTTGTATTTGCAAGCAATGTCCATCAAAATTCAAGAATGGCTGGATTTGAGTAAATGCTGATCTTTTCATAGACAGTTCCTACACATTCACTGATCTAGCATACCAGATACAGTCCAGAGAATCTTGCTTTATACAGAGATATGCAGCTTTGCATTTAATCTTAATATTCAGAGACTGTATTCCTTTTAGTTGCTCAAGTGTAACACTATAATGGTTATGTAAACTGGTGCTTACATTGAGATGTTATTTTGACATGAATTTTGGTGCCATATGTAAACATCAAAGGTGTATAATAACCACCCTCGGTACAGGTCCCAGTTCCATTTAGGAAGAGGAAATATTGTGATTTTTTTTTTTTTTTGACAAAATGGCAATGTGAATTTAGATTTTTGCACAACTGAATTGCAGTTTGTAAATAAAAGCAGCACACTCAATTAGAAGTGGGATAACAGTGGATTTGTTGCCTGACTCTACCAATGATTTTCTTAATATGCAATCCACTTGTTAATGATGTTATCAGTTATTTTACTGTAAATTAGCTATTGTAAGCTTCAGGTCTTTCTGCAATGTCTGTGTTAGGTTACAGAAGCATAAATCAAACTCCCATCTCTTTTTACATCCATAACCATAATGTACGGCTTTTATTAGGAAATGTTAAGTGTCTTAATAATGTCTTTTTAATGGACAGTGTGTGCATGTGTTAATGAGGAAAGCCATTTTCTTTCATGCAAAATATTAGTGCATGTGGCCTTCATCTCCATAGATACAAGTTAAAGAATCATATTTAACTCACAAAATATTCACTGTATTCATATTTATCTAATTTTAACAATCCTTTAAGGAAAGAACAAGTTAGAAGTAAATCAGAAGTTGAATTCTAACAGGCATGCAGAAGTGATTGTGAATAAATGGTACAAAATCCACTCTAAAAACCCACTCCCAACAAACCCAAATTTTATAATTTACTACTGCTAAATCGAAATACCCTTAGAGAATTTGTATCCTTCTAGAATTCCAGCCTGTGCATCACAAAGACTCCTAGTATTGGTTATAAATCTTTGTCCTTCTCATAAAATATCATAATGCCTCCAAGCAAAAGGGTGTTTTAACTTCTGTATCCTTTCCACTGGGACAACGTTATCCATTTGAACCGCTTTTGAACCGCTTCCCAAAATCTTGAACAAGCACATTACTTTCACTTGAAATGTGTTTTACCAACAGATTCCAGGGTACTAGAGAGATCTGCTTTTCACATTGTCAGCTAACACTGGGCTTGTTAAATTAATGGAAACCAAGCATTTTGAAGGATACCCTACAGCCTTGCATTTCCATGCTCCCTTGGCAGAAATCAGGGATTTGAAAGCTGCAATACAACAGCATCATCTTTTCATCTTGTGGTAAGGAATCTATTATTCCTTTATCCTCCATGCTGTTTAAAGGAATTCATTTAAAGTATGAACTCCTTTGTTCAGGGAGGAAGTCTCCAAATGATACGCAAACAAGAACCTTTAGAAATGTAGCAAGATAAAATTCCAGGCTCTGCTCCAGCTTTCCCCATTCATTCAGTTTGCAGAACTGGTGTCTCCCTGCTGGAGATCTCTGCTCAGATCAAGTCTCCGCCAGCTGCTATTCCACCACCCATTCATACATGGCCAGCTCCCCTCTCCTTGCTCCTTGCACCTCTACTTCTCTTTCCTCCATCCATCCAAATCTCTCCCTAATCTGATACCATTTCTTTGATCCTTCTCAGGAACACTGATCACCCTCCCCCACCAAGGCACCACTCATCTCTACCCAGGGCTGGCAGCAATTAAGCTGGAACAAAGGTCCATTTAAGAGTAAAGCCTATGCCAACCAATTTCTTTATATAAAGAAAGCACTATCCTCCATCTGTTTCCCTAGTTATCAAATTGACTATCTTGGGAGTTAATCCTGCTGCTGTTCCTAAAGCAAATGTTTTCAGTACTTTTGATTTCAGGAGCAGAATCAGGCCCTCATTAATGTAATTATCCTCATAGCATGAGGAGGTGCCTACTTGAAGCAATCGGATGACTGTTACAGACCATTTTTATCCACACCTATTCTGTGAACTGCACCAGTGTGCATTCCCTTTCCAAAACAACTGCAGGCACCAGGAGGGGAGGAGCTGTCCTTCAGTAGCAGGCAAGAAACCTGTCAAACACAGTGTCCCTTCAACATGAATGAAACCATTTTCTCTGATTAATACTTTGCATTTCCCACAAGGGAAAAAGACAGAGTGAGCAGCTGAATTACCCATTTTCAGAGAAGCATGTTCATAAATATTTAACTTGGTATGTATGAGAAAAGAGAAAGGCACTGACTTCCTTTCCAGTCCAGGCTGAAACTCTCCAAATCCCCTGGTACCACTGAGACTGCCTGCTCCCATAATCCTTCCTCCATCTCGTAAAGAGCCATTAGCTTGTAACAGGGCTGGACAAGGTGTCTCTCTTCACTGGGGGATGTCTGACTGTAAAAATCTATGCATAGAGGAAAATGATCTGGTGTAATGGAGACCTCTCTGGCCCATGACTGGGACCTGTCCCCAAGCTGTTCTAGGAGTTTTAGGAGCCTATTAGAAAATACTACTGGGTCTCTGGAGGCCCACATCTGAGTTCACAAGCTTGGGCCCTGGCGTCTACTCGTATGCATGGGGCCTGCTTGAGCGTGTGGGTTACATCCCCACAGAGCCCACATGGTTTTTGTATTGCCACACACACGGATGGCTGCTCTGCTCTGACAGTGGAGAGAACCCTGGTGATGCTGGAAGTGGAACCACGGGGAAGTTTGAGTGTTTTGATGAGGCTGTTGATTGCATAGCTTACCCTTGCATATCTGGAGGAGTAGGGATCCTCAAAGAGTGCCCAGATGCGGGGCTGCCACCGTCTCCAGAAGCCCCCAGACCTGCCATCTGGGGAGTCACTAAGTGCTAGGCGTTTTGTCATCTCCAGCTCATCTTCACCATCACCAGAGTCTCCGGTGCCATCTATGTCTCCGTCCTCAGCACTGCTATCCAGAGGCGCCCCACCAAAGCTGTCCAGAGCCTCTTCGGCGTCGCGGTGCTGCCGGTAGGTCATCCAGCAGCAGGGCTCCACATCGGTCTCATCGATGCCCCAGAAGGCCAGCTCCTCCTCATACAGGGGCCCGCACACGTCCGCGGGGCAGTGCAGCTTGCCAGTGCGGTAGTAATTCAGGATGTGGGCGAAGACGCCCGGGTGCCGGTCAAAGAAAAACTCATCCGTGCGGGGGTCATAGTCAAAGTGGCTGTGGGCATCGGGCTCAGCGATCCAGGCCAGCCGCGTGCCGGGCAGGGTGCGCAGGGTGCTGCGGTAAGTCTGGTGCCTAGTCCCTCCCACGTTGATCACAATGCGGTCGCTCTCGTCGCCCTGGCCCATCTCGTCTCTTATTAGGCATGTCGCAGACTCATCCAAGCAAGCACGGCAGGCAGCAAGCCCGTCAGGGGACGGCTGCTCGGCGGCAGTCGGTGCCTAAGCCGAGCCCCGCTCCGGGCCCGCGGGGGCGAGCGGCCCCGGC